TTCATGTATTTCACTCGACCCCAGCCACGAATTAGTCACTCAGACGCAGAGTGTGGGAAATAACGCCTCAAGTCGCACAGATGGGGTGGCTGGGGTCGAGGGAAATACGTGAACCATGGAGAGATAAGACGAATCTTATGGGACAAGAGGGAGACTGTGATAAGACCTATGGAAGGAGGACTGCGTAACAATATGGCAGACTCCGATCAACATTTCCAGCAAAAGGGTGAAGGGGGTGAGAACGACAGTGTGGAGTGTGAAGAGTTTTCATCAATGCCGCTCACCACAATACATCGAAATAAGCACGATGAAAAGCGTAACAGTGAAGGTGTGATAGGAGGATATATGAAATGTGAATAGACCAGGGCAAAATAGGAGATACCACAACTGCTTAGCACACGTTTGGTCACTTGTCTCTTTGACGAGTTGTCGTGTGGTGTTAAGAATGCCGACTACGATGCCAGCGAAGCGTCTGAGAATGTACCACGTCCATGATCCAACTCTGGAAATGATGACTCCGAACAAGGTGCGTTTTTCTAAGTCTTCCTACCACCATGACCAAGTTGCGAAAACAAGGTCAAACCACTTCTATGCAACGAAAAAAGACTGCGACCACGCAAAAGGTCACACCATCTTGGTCTTCATACCTTTGCTGCTTTTAGTAGGGGAATCTTTGCAAAAAAGGACTTTCATTCTTACGGCATTCGTGGTAGTCAAGTTGTGGCTGGTACACAGCCACACGGTCTGATTGGCATTGGCAGAAGGAGAGAGGGGAATGGGCGCTGAGCTCTTGAGCAGACCTGCTCGTCCAGTTCTCCACTTCCCGAAACCTTTCGTGTTCAATGTTCTTTCGTGTCGTCTTCTCGGCGTCCTCGACTTTCGCCTCAACTCTTCCCTGCACCAGCATTTCGCCCGAGCGGGGATTCTTCCGATGCTTCTTTAAAGGCGGCCGGACCAACAATGAATGTTCAAGTTTCTTTGTCTGCGTTGACGTTAAGGTTGGCTCCGGCCGCAAAGAGGGCGACAATATTTGCGCTGGCGCCTGCAAGGAATGGACTGACCGAGTGCAGACAGCATTTTTAGCTCGACAAATCAAGTCGTGTTGATTGCAAATTTGGCCCACTTCAACTGAATAGACAGAAATATATTAATTAATGGCTGAATCAATCTATTAGTAATTGATTGATAACTTTAATCATCCTATGATATTTAAGGACTGATAGATAAATTTTCCTATACTCACATGTGGGAAATATATTAATTAATGGCGGAATCAATCTATTAGTAATTGAGTAATAACTTTAA